TTGAATTTAAGCATGAGAAGAGGTGTCAGTCAGTAAAAGTTTAAAGTACAATATCTTGCACAACTTTCATAGAAAATCTCAAGCAATAAACCTTTTTTGCATTAAGAGCATCTTCCACTCTCAATTTCATTTCTTTCATCTTCCACTGTCAGTTTCTTTTCTTTAAGTTCTGTTTCTGTTTTCGGTCCAACCTAGAAACACAAATAATAAATTAAATACCAAAGAAAAGAAGATCATATACCATACATTTAAATATATCATCACCACTGCATTAAACAAGTCCAAGGTTTACCTTAATGAAGGCAACACCATTTGAGAGTTTTGCAATTCTCTAATTGAGCTTTCCTTTTCCTAGTCCTACTCTGTTGCTAGCAAATGTTATATATTTATCAATAAAGAGAAAATAAGACAGGTAAAGATAGTAATAGGAGCAGAAAAAGGATTGAATGGAAGCACCTCAACAAGATTCTTGATCCGAGCAACTCTCTTATTCACTACTTCTTGTGTATTTCCATCACCAATGGTGGTAGTGGTCTGCTTAGTGAGCACCACTTTGGCAGCTTTGCCCCAGGACCTCCTCAGCTTTGTCCAATGATAACCCAACCTCATCTCTTATCACAGTACCTAAATGCATTTTACAATAAATTTTAACAAGAGAACATTGAGCACATACAACTTATGTAGCTATTTTCATAAGATACCACACAAACCTCCAGTGAGTAAAGCAATATCATCAAGATATTCACTTTTACGCTCTGCAAAACCAGGGGCTTTTAAACCGGCAATCTTTAGTGCCCCTCTAAGCTTGTTCACAACAAGAGTAGCAAGAGCTTCCTGTTCAATGTCTTCTGCAATTATTACCGTTGGGTAACCCCCTTAATATCATCTCCTGAATCGTGGATAAGATTGCTTGCATTTGTTATCTTTTTGTCAACCAGTCATAGCTGCACAAAACAGCTTTAAGTAGTCAGTGACTTCTCAAAATAGAATCCTTCAGTATCCACCAACATACTTGCCAAATACCTTACAATTTCCATATTCAACAGCCTTTTTCTCACTGGCTGTAACAAAGTAAAGAGACATATAACCACGATCAAATTGCATCGCTTCAACAACATACAAGCTGTTTTCTTTACTGCTGCCTTCCTCAAGAGTCACTTTGCCTTTTCTTCCCACTTTACCCATAGCTTCCACAATCATATTGCATACTTCATAGCTGTTTCCTGCACTAACAGCAGCCACATCTGCTAGTTCGCTGTCTTCAACCTGCAGACCAACACCAATGGTAAAATTTGCATCCCAGATATTCATCATGAAATTTGTGAGTTATAACTCCATTTAGAAGGTACAATTAAGAACAACTAGGTTTACCTCTTTTGACATCAGCTTAAGTTCATACACCAGGGCCTTAGTACTGCTTTCAATTCCTCCTGTAATTTGAACAGTACTTGTGTCACGGGTCGAGACTTAAGCTCCGAACCCGCGCGGCTCCGGGACCCGGGCATTCACCCTTCCGGCGTCCCGGATCAGCCTGACCGTCATGGTTCACACCCTTGTGAGGTATTGTCCGCTCTGGCCCCCTGGCCTCACGGTTTTGTCCTACAAAAGGCGCCTCACAAGGCGGAGATGGTGTGAACCCTTTTATACCCCAGTGACCTTCCTATTATGTTCGATGTGGGATTCAGGACTCCCCCTTAGGTCCGTGACATTCTCCCGCACCCAACCTCGTGACGCCCTCGTCATGGAGACTGACCACCCTGCCTGCCTCCCTTGAGGTGCTCGGCGTGGATCGAACGGTTTAGAGCTGGCTCTAATACCACTTGTCACGGGTCGAGACTTAAGCTCCGAACCCGCGCGGCTCCGGGACCCGGGCATTCACCCTTCCGGCGTCCCGGATCAGCCTGACCGTCACGGTTCACACCCTTGTGAGGTATTGTCCGCTCTGGCCCCCTGGCCTCACGGTTTTGTCCTACAAAAGGCGCCTCACAAGGCGGAGATGGTGTGAACCCTTTTATACCTCAGTGACCTTCCTATTATGTTCGATGTGGGATTCAGGATTCCCCCTTAGGTCCGTGACATTTGCATCAGCATCCACCACCTGGAAAGAATAACCAAAAACCAATATAAGAATAGATAGGGTATGCAATTTTCCAATGATATGATTGTTATGAAGTTCTCACAAACCTTAACACCTTCAGTTATCAAACCTGGTGCAAAAAAAAATGATGTAGTTGTTCCATCACCAGCCAAATCATTGGTCTTTGAAGCAGCCTGTCTCACCAATCTAGCACCAATGTTCTCCACAGGATCCTCAATCTCAACCTATAAAAGTGTAAATGTAAATGAAAACTCATATATAAAAAAGACGCTTGTGTGAAAAATAAAAAGTGGGGGAATATTCCAATTAAACCCGGGAAAAAAAAAAAGAAAAAACCAATGCTTAAGTAAACGAAAAAGTATAGCTACAAAACAAAGAATAATTTCTTCAATTCTGAAACAAAAAGATCAAAAAGAACAAAAAGACCAATTGATTCAGAAAACAACCCAGGTGGTTCATCATTTATCATTAGCTGAAGACGTCAAACTTTGACAAAGGCAATTAAAATAAAAAATGCTGATTCATTCCTATTCATTTGTTGTATATTGCTTCTATGTATCAAACGCTACCAAAAAAAGTATTCATTGAACAAAGGTAAATATACCTCCTTAGCAATGCTAACGGTTACACCATCATTAACAATTTTTGGGGAGCCAAACTTGCTCTCTAAAACTACATTTCTCCCTTTGGGACCAAGAGTAGCACCAACTAGGTCTGCAAGTTTGTTAACACCTTTTTGAAGTGGAAAAGATGCAAGGGTACATCAAAAAAATTGCCAAAGAATGTCATACAACAAACCATTCACTGCCAACTTACTTATAGCTTCTTGATAGCAGAACCATCCTTGTTAAAATGCAACTCTTGTCCATTGGCCAAATTTGGGAAGAGCATCCTCTTTGTAAAATCACATTATGTTTCCTGCCTAGAAAGGCACTTGAGGATATAGAATCAAATGATGATAGTCAACCGGAAGAATTTAAAAACTTCTTGTCTATTGTACTACTGCAGGGAAACCCTAGAGAGCCAATTGACAACATGGCAATGAAACATAATGCCATGTTCTTTCAAGAGCCTGAAACATTAGTCAAAACACAAGACATATAGATCCAATTATTGTCCACTAAAACAGATAAATCAAAAGAAATCACATGTGTTAAAGTCCTACTTCCACAAAGAAAGGTTAACCTAGATATCCTGGTGAAATAGATATTACCTAAATCCCACATTAAGGATATGAAATAACGCCATCACATTTTGCACTTAATTTGCACATGTAAATGGGCAAGGCAGAGTGGAGATAATCACCAAAACCACTGAGAGTTATAGTTAGAGAAGTCTCATAAGAGAAGATAACTTTTCCACCATAATAAGTTAGCAGAAATCACATACAAAAAATTCAGTAATCAAATCTGAACCCGTTTGCAAGAAAACTATCAAATTTCAAACTTGAACAAGAACTTTTAGTTTTTACCCCTAAAACAGCCAAAAACAAAGTCATTTTGATAATCTCAAAAAATTCACAAGACAAAAAAAAAAGAACTTCTTTAATCGATTGTTTTACATCTATAGACCCATATAAACAAAAACCCAGAAAGCTAAAATCAAAGCTTTGACTGCTTCAAATGCAGTTTCCATTATTCATAAACCAAAACAATAGTTAACCATTGCATCACATATACTTCAAATTTTCTCTTCTCTTGTCTTCATTTCCTTCTATTTTCTTGACATTGAGGAAACAAAAAGAGAAAAGTAAAGAAGAATCATTTAGAAAAGAACGGCAACTGGGAGAGTTTACCTTAAAACGGCTGTTGATAGTTTGATAGCATAGAGTTTTTGAGGTAAGGAAGACACCAGAGACAGCAAAAATTTCAGCTTAGGAAAGTCCGGTGTGGAAATGCAGAGACATAAAGATTTTATAGTAGACAGCGGGTTTTGGTATCTGAGTGATAGTGTTGGATTTTTAGGGTATCCTAATGTTTGGAATAAATCTGAACGGTTGATGTGGTTGACTTAAATTTTCATTTTCCTTTTCCCTGGGTTTAGGTGTTCGTGGGCTTGGACTACAAATTTTGCAAGCCCAAGCCTCATTTAGTGTGGCTAAGTAATGCATAGGGCAGGGTTTACGTCCCCCCCTGCAAGCCTGGTCCCATTCGGGCCGAGATGTTGACTAAGAGTTGTAGAGTTCAGATATGATTCGGTTAAAAGTTTTATTTTATTAAATAAAATTTATTTTTTATTAATTTTTAAAACATATTTAAGTATTAAAGTGTTATTATTTTAATATATATATATATATATTAAAAAAAATCAAACATTTAACTTGAGGAATTTGTCGGACTTTGAACAAATCTTTTGAAAAATCGATGGAGTTGACTTGATCTTTTGAAAGACTAATGTAGCTAATGCGGCCCCACTGGACCCATAAACATTTTTACTTCTTGCTAGATCCGTGCTGTAGAACATTGGGGCAGCTGCTGAACCAGGATGGAAGCTCCAACTAGTAGAGGGGATAATTTATTGATAATGTCATCAATTATCAGTCAATTTATCGACTTCGTAGTTGGAGCATTAATGTTGAGATACTTTATTGACTTGGTAGGCCTTGCAAAGAATTTTCGACTTAGGTCCTTGGAAGAGATAGAGAAGAATGAAGGAATCAACCCTGAAGAAACTAGGAAACTAACAAATTCTAATTGTCCCCCCCCCAAAAAAAATGATTAATATTGAAGCTAATAAATTAACTCGCGAAGAATCAACTGTATGAAAATTCGAGGAACATATGAAGAGAACTCTTGATCTTTGTTCTTCTCCTTCCACTTTTCGTATAATTAGATGTAGAAACCACACTGGCTCATAAACTCGTGCTTTTGGTTTAGACTGTAAAGCTCAGAAGTGTGACGAGATGGATGCCAGGCTTCTCGAAGCAATTGCAGGAAACGATGCTTTGGCTTTTACCCATTTGGTTCGAGAGAATGAAACCATTCTTGAACAAACAACTGCCAACGGACTGAACACAGCTTTACACCTTGCTTTGAAGTTTGGAAGCAACAATTTGGTGATGGAAATCATTAAGTTACGACTAAGTTTGGTGGCAACATTGAAGAGGTAGCTAGAAACTCCCCTGCATGAAGATTGTCGTGAGGGAAATGCTGAGGCAGTGATGCTGCGGTTAGAGAGCAACCCTGGATAGCATGCAATTTGAATTGTGAAAATCAAAGTCCATTATTCATTGCTTGCAGTAATGGGCATCTGAATGTGGTAAAGGTGCTTTTGAATCAACCCTGGTTGGAAGGATTAGAAGATGATGCTGATCTAACTACTGCTCATGAGGCTGCATCAAAAGGGCAAATTGGTATGTGATGAACCTTTCTTTGCCAAGAGTTCATAGTAAAACAAAAATATAAATATATTATTGATTTTTCCCATGTCATTCTTTCTGGGTATTATTCTTATTGCCTCAATTTCTATTTTATCCTTCTTCATTTTTCCTTATAACCTTTTAGATAATTTCTTTTGAAAATCATTTAAAATAATTTTAAAATGTAAAATGTATAAGAACTGTATACTAATATTCAGGATGTAATCATCAGAAATATTGAGGGAGATAATAAATATCTACCTGGAATTGGGGCGAAAGGTTGACAGAAATGGACGTTCAGCTCTGCACTCTGCTTGCAGTAAAGGGCGGTTGGATATAACCAAAATGCTTCTGCAGTATGATCTGGACCTTGCTTTTCAGTTCGATAACAATGGTTATACACCATTGCACTTGGCACCAATGAATGGTGATACTGGAATTCTTAAAGCATTTATGTCAATCCGTTCAATGTCTCACACAAGATGGAGATACTGTATTTCATCTTACAGCAAGGTTCAATCGATATAACGCCTTTGTATGCTGGGCACTGGTTTTCAGCGACACCAATCTCTTCAACCGACCAGACTCGGATGGCAACACTATTCTGCATGTGGCTACCTCCAAAGGACACTATCTAGTATGTATCTTTCTTTACCTTTGTACCTGTAAGTTTAGAGGTGTGTGGATGCGGTAATGAACAATGGTTCCGTGACAAACTAGCGAATTAAAGTTGGTAAAATGATGAAAAAGAAAAAGGTCAAATGAAATTAGGAAGAAAAGCTCTTTACTACAAGTTTTGCACGATACAATGGAATTGATAGTGGAATTTCATTATGCAAGTTCATTTCTAAAGTTATTGTCATTTTTCTTTTCTATTGAGTTCATTATAGCTGGCAGACTACATCGTGTACAAAGCAAATGTGGATGTCAATTATCGAAACTATAGGGGACATACAATGCTTGATATCCTCAATGAAGCTGGATGCACTTCAGAAATTCAGCTTTTGAAAGAGAAGATAAAAAGAGCATGTGGTAGGACAGGTATAGCACTTCTTCAAAGACAAAGGTAAGCAGTTCAAAATTCTATGGAAGTGTTGGGATATGGATCACATGCAAGTAAAAAATCTTACATCATTAGAAAATTTAAATGAGATATCCGATATATGCATGAAGGATCCAAAAATCTAATAGCTTAAGTTTTTGGACTTAAATGGTATCTAACATGTATGTATGGGCTCTCTAGTGTACTCTCATAGGCTCCAAGTATGGTTTATTTTCCCAACAAGTGGTACCAGGCCAAGATTACAGGTTTGAATACCAATTGTGTTGTTGGGGGGAGATTGTTGGTAGATCGGAGGGTGACTGTGTCCATCAACTCCATGTGCTCGAACATCGGTATTATATGTAGAAGCAAAACACCCAAGTGGGCGGTGTGTTGAGTTAACCTGAAGTGCAAGCTTGAGGAAGCACTGAGACAACCTAGGCAGTCAAGTTGAGTGCTGTTGCCTAGCACAAAAAAGTGTTGATAGGACTTACTCGCACGAGAAGTCGAGGTGGGACTTGATCAAAACTCACAAGTGAACAGAGGAAATTGTTGGAATATGGTTCACATGTGAGTAAAGAATCTCACATCATTAGAAAATCTGAATGAGATGTTCTATATATGCATAAAGGACCTCAAAACTTAATAGTTTAAGCTTTTAGACTCAAGTGGTGTCTAACGTATATGTATGGGCTCTCGGTGTGCTGCCATGAGCTCCAAGTGTGATTTATCTCCCTAACAAGAATGTGGTGCATCTCACATTAGATAGAAAGATTTAATTATTGACGAATAAAATTAATTTTTATATTAATTTTATTTATATTTTAAATAATTATATTTTAACAGAAATAATTATCATATGACAAATGGTTATAACTATTTGAATATAAATAGATTATTATTTTCAAAAATAATAATTAAACAGAAGGTCATAACCATCTAAATAGAAGTTTATATCTGTTCATTTATTACAAATAAATCTTTCAATATAATAATTTTTATTCTTTTTGCCTAGAGAGTCTTAAGACTTTATTATATCGTAAAAGCATAATTGCCTTTAAAAAAGTGTTCTTCACACCTCAAAACCAAAATTCCTTTCTATTTTTTGTCTTCTCTTATTTATTTTTCTAATAATTTAAAGACAGTTATGAGAAATTTATATTTCGCATGAAAAAGATACAAAGAAAAAAAAATTGGCATGATTTGGAGATCATTATTAGAATAGGCTCAAAGTGTTAAAAGATTAATGTTTCCATGGATCAAAATGTTAATTTTCATAAAGATCTTCATTAGAGGTATGTATTTTATTTTTTGCATAATTGCTAGCAAAAAAGATTGATTGAATAAGATAAACACGTTAATAATTAATTTTATTAGTGTAAAGTCAAAACACAATATGCAAAATATTGATTACATTACATAAATTTATGCATATATTGAAATTGGCTCGACAATTAGGTTTAATAAATTGTATTATATTTATTTAAAAAATTGATATTTATAAAGACTGAGATAGGAAATAGTCTAAAAACATGAAAAAAAAAAAAAGACATGAATTGATCTACGACCAAAAGAATTATCACTTATTATCAAGTAACAAATTAAATTGGATTCTAATAGAATGACCGATTGTTTAATTATCATATCTTGATTATATAATGAACGACAAATTGTCTCATGGTTTCTATGAAAACAATCAAAAATGGGTAAAGGAATATATCATAAAAAAAAATTAGATGTAAGTAGAAAATATATGTTGAAAATAAGATTTTGTTACAAGATTAATTTTATTTTTAAATCATGGCACCAAAATTGAGACAATAAGTTAATTCAAGCTATTTGTATAGTTCTATCTTTGTTAGTCGTGTATAAATCAATAATTGATTTATTATTATTGTTATTGGTTCAAATTTTGACTAGTATTCAATTTTCTTGAAAATCAATTACAATTAAAATTGATGTATGTAAACAATTATTATTAAGATATAGTATTTTATGGATTAATTGGTGGTAATATAAAATACATTAAATATGTATATCTATGGCATTCTTATATTTTGTAAATTTTATATTAGTATCACTAACTAAAATTTGGCCAAAATTTTAGGTTAATTAGATGGTTGATTAAAAGAAAAGACATGTCATTAAAAATATTGATACATTTGTCGGTTACTAGCATTTTGAAAAATGCTCATCAATGTCTAAATTAGCTATATTTATAAATTAGAAAAAAAAATACAAATTCAATGTTTCGAAGGTATCGATACATCCATGTGCTTAATTCCATTTTGTGATGGCATGGAGAATATTGGCATAGTTTGCCATAAATTACAAAAAATGAAAGGAATGGCATACAATTTTCTTTCTTATATGTTAAGAAAGATATGGACTACGAAGATAAAATGCGATCATCCAATTAATACATTATTGGTTAAAGATAATGAAGATATTTCTGCTTCTTATAGCCGAAAAAATGGCATTTGTAGGCTGTTAAAATGAAAAGTGAACAAGTTTTTGAGATTTTCAATAGTTTCATAACAATGGCAAAGATGTGATTGGTTATACACCGTATTCACATATAGGCTTAGATAATAATATTGGTTTGTGAAACCCATGAGCCATGAAGTAAGCCAATCAATTATTTAACCAATGCAAATTCATCACGAGTTTTTGCATAAAATATGAGTAGAACTCATGTTATAATTATTGTTTATACTATTTCATGAAAATTATTCTTTAGATTCATATTTCATTACTTAAGTTGATATGGTGATCTAGATAAGAACATATTGATTACAAAATTATTGTAAAAGTATTTAAAATTAGAGTTAAATATACTTTAGACTCTTGTTGTACATAAGCATATTAGTCATATGAGTAATGTTTGAATTTATTATATATTGGAAAATGTTATGACCAATTAAAAGTAGTTAATAACATAAATACATAGGCTGCACAATGGTGAAGAAATAAAATTCTCATAAAATTTTGAAATCAAGCTTAGAGGTTTTAATAGTCATGAACTTGGAATTGGCAATTGGGCAATTAATATATGCATTGGAAACTCATTATAACATTTGAGATAGTTGGTTTTCACTCAAAAGCATCATTATAAATAACATAACTTCAATAGCCAAATCTACATGATTTATAGTTATGATGTGGATTATTATGAATGGATTAGAATAGCCATAAGCCAAAATTGATGTCATAATCTTGATCTTGTTGTGGTAATTTTTTGTTATGTATATGGTCTAATTCATGGATTGTACAAATGATTTATCATATATGATTTTATATAGTAAAATTTTCAAAGCATATTTACTTTGAAAGCCATGAGTGATTCAAATATCTTATGACTATAAAAACTTTTATAATAGTAAATGGAATGCTATTTGATCCATTTGGATGATGCAAATGACTTTGTTCATGAAAATAAAAATTATTAATAGTGTCCATGAATAAATAGATTCATATAAGTATTTATGAATTAACATAAAAAGTCTTTAAAAAATATTATAAAAGGATGATTATATTTAAAATCTACTTATTGATATAAACTCTTATATTTAGTTAAAATATAAAAGTTTTGGAACTTTTATAGAAATATTAAGATATTTGCTAGTTATCTTTCACTAAATGTGGATTTGGAGGTCTCTTATTAAAAAAAAAATCACCAAATAATGAAAAGATAAATGAAATGACAACTTCATTAAGAATATATAATATTTTAACTATTGAATGAGACATTCTTTAATAAAAGAATGCATAACATTCTTTAATAAAAGAATGCATACTTACATATGGTGGGGGTAACAAGAATAAAAAAAAATAAAAATTATCACTGTAGTGTTGTAAGATTTTATTATAATTTTATGAGTAAATTATACAAGCTAATAAGTTTAGACACTTATTAAAGCAAAATCATAAAAGGTCTTTAAAAATCCTAAAAAGACTAAAATGACTTGGTTTATTCATTGATTTTATTCAATTGTACTAGAAGTATAATTGTGTTAAAGCTGTATAAAAGTATGAAAATAGAATGGTTGAAATTTATGAGTATAGAATTGTGACTACAACCAAAACCAGCTATAACTTAAAATGATAAGAATGAGGCAACAATGTCTAGAGCATATAAATGATATACAAAATGAAAAGTTTGGACATATTAACCTGAAGTGATTATATTAGAGATTCAATTTCAAGTGGGGATAATTACCATAAAAGAAAATTGTATTTTAAGATATTTGGTTAGTAGTACTACAAGTAGAATAAATTTAAACCCTTATTATTTGACACCAATAATAGGAACCTAACTTTGAATTAGTAACCTTTAATTACAAAGTTTAATGGGTAAAAATAAGTTATTGTTATGTGTTTGTTAAGCACTAATAAAATTCATTCAAATTTTAAAAACTAATGTAATCCATTGTGTAGAGAAGATGAGTTTCTATACTCTTAATGGAGTTTTAAATATCTAAAGTAATTCAGATATAATGAAAACTCTACCTATATAAATATAGAAGTGGTGCCATTTCAACAAGAAGAATTGAGGTCTCTCTTGTAAATATTTATGATTAGGATAAACATATGACCATAATAGTGCTAAAAACGGTTATAAACTTCTGACAGAAGAATAAATAAGTATTATGTGTATTATATCTTCAATTATAATACTAAGAGTTGAGGTTTAATCTATAAACCCAATCAACTTCGTTAGAATTCTAATATATATATACTAATTAAATGTTTAAATATAGAGATATTTTCTTATATTCATAATATTTATTTGTGTGAAAGGTAAAAATTAAGCAACAACATTCCAAACTCATGAGGGATTATTGGTAGTTTAGAATGTGGTGTATCCCACATTTGATAAAAAAATTTAATTACTGATGAATAAAATTAATTTTTATATTAATTTTATTTATATTTTAAAATAATTATGTTTGAACAGAAATAATTATCATATGACAAATGATCGTAACTATTTAAATATAAATTATTCATAAAGATTATGATTATACAAAAAGTCATAGCCATCGGAATAGAAGTTTATATGTTCATTCATTGTAAATAAATCTTTCAGTATAATCATTTTCACTACTTCTGCTTGGAGAGTTTTAAGATTTTGTTGTATCTTAAAGGCATAATTACCTTTAAGAAAATATTTTTCACACTTCAAAGCTAAAATTCTCTTCTACTTTTTGTCTTCTCTTATTTATTTTTGAGATCGTGGCAATGGCTTATGTTGCAGCCACCTGGGTGACAGTGCCCAATGATCAAGGGAGATGAATGTTTGTGGCACTACTATCAACCTGTAGGGGAACTCTTGGAGCAGCTTTCGCCGGTGTAATTGTGATGCTGGTTGAACACTGGTTACGGAGGCTGAAGTGGATAAAAGAACGAAAGAGAGACCTCAGAAGGGAAAGGATAGCTTCCTTTAATTCAGACATGGAGAGTTGCTACCACCGAGTTTATCATTCATTTTGAAGGCTTACACTTTCAACTTGAGAAATTTGATTTGTCTTTTATTCAACAAACATAAATATGTCCACAAGATACCATGTCTGCGCGGGTTGCAAGTGCTTCCTCCCGTTCCATGTCTGTTATTCAGTTTGTTCTGAATCGAAAGCTTCAATAGAGCTTGTCCTGAGTTCCTCATTTAGTGGTATTGTTTGGACTTTGGACCATTTTTTGCCCACTGTCATCATTAATCATCGAATATTTGTATACTAAAATCGCTCGCATAAGTAGCTTCATCTTAACACTTTCGCAGCTACTCAGACTTCTGAATATAAAATGTGTAAGGAATCAAGTAGAGCAATACAAAAAGTGCAGTTTTTATGAGTATTCTATGAGCAAATAGTTCAAACAGAGTGCTCTTCCATTGCCACGGGCACTCATTTTCAACATCATTTAGTTGGCCTGCCTGAGTTCTTCCTATATTCCTTAGGACTCAAGAAATAGCCAGAATAATAGCACCTTGAGTCATAACATTTCAACATGCATGATGAAATTATTCAAAACGTACAATAATTTTTTTTTTAAATTAACTGAATTCTCGACTATTCTATTAATGAAATGTTATATTGTTGATTAATTCCATCAACATTTGCTTTATTATAATTTATGCAAAATTATCTTCTTCTTTTTTTCTTTTCGTATTTTCTACAATGTATGAGGACGGGATCCTCACGTGTAGGAGAAAAACATATTATAAGCTCATCTTAAATCTACAGACTGAACCTTTCTTTTCTGTTTTTACAATTCAAGAGTGGACTTGCTGCCACATCAAGTTAGCGAGAAACCTGAAATTGAGAGTGGTGAAAATGGAGAAGACTTGTTAAATGATGAATTCAGATACAAATGCAACGATCATTAGCAACAGCAACATCACAATAATCCAACACACATGTATAGCTAAATAATTGAGACAAAGATTTCCAACGCTTGGAATCTGTCACAGAAGAAAGAAAAAGACAAAAACAAAGCAAAGAAATAGGTTATGGTGCACAGCATACCAAAGTTACAACTGTGACAATAAGCGCAACAAAGACTGAACTAAGTGTCACTGAAACTATTAATCCTGAACTAGGATGTGGGCCTGGTGTGATGCCATCCTCTGGTGGATTTGCAATGGAAGGTGGAGATTCTGCTCTTTGGTGAAAACCCATCACCCGGATGAGCAATTTCTGACCCCTGTTGCAGTGATCGGGGGCTCCGCTGATGAAGTAGAAGAGTCCATGCCTATCAAGATTGATAACAGTCTTTCCATCGTTAAAGAAAGAGATTGGCTTGTTTGTGTTGCAATGATAGTAATCCCATTTCTCCACCACAAGGACTGAATCATTCTGATACTCAAAAGCTGCAACAAAGAAAAAAAATGATAGCTAAATATCAGAAACCTGACAATTAAGCAAACAACATAGAGCATTTGATCAATAAATTTTTGAAAAATGTAATAAAGATTAGGATGTTGAGTGATACTACTCGTAAAAAGTGAAGGGTATAACTAAGCAAAAGGTCGAAGAAACTCACAAAGAGAGTCTCCAACATGAAACCTTTTACTCGTAGCCCACTGGCTGTAGACCGCAGTGTCGTTAGTGCTAGGCTGCTGCCAACCTATATGATCCCCCACTTTGAAATGCTTGGAAGCTTCAACGGAGCCATTCATTGCAGCTAGAATATTGAGAAAATAAGTGCAAAATATCAAACCCTTGAAATGTTTCATTTTTGAGTTGTTAACTTTTTTCTACTTGAAAAGTTTAGATTTTCATAGTAACTGATAGTGACAAGAGATATATGGGGGAATTTAGGAAAGGATTTGAAGGAAAAATTAAAATAATAATAGAAGTTGGTTGAACTTTGAAGTATGAACTTGGCGGGCTGGGTTTCAAGAGCGTGAGAGACTGGAGTAGTGGACAGTTATGCGGAAACGTGCGCGCTTGTCGGTTTTTTTTTAATGGGTTGAACCATCCGTGTTGACAGGGGCTTGATTGCACTCAACTCTGATAATTTTTGTTGCAAACGTAATGTAATATAGTTTTATAGAGTTTATTTTGGTAATTAAAAATAACTTCCACTAAATTAATTTGGTATTTATTACCGAAAAATGCTACTTTTTTTTTTGTTAAGACAATTTTCTTTTAAAATGCTACAAGAAAACATACCTTACAGGATTGCAGTGCCCCATTTTATATCCCTCTCTGCCAATAGGCTACCAGCATATCTGAAAGACTGAAATAGATTGCCTGACAGATGGCTTTTAATTTTATTTTTTTTAATACCTAGGAAGCTGCTGCATGGAGCTAAGGAAAAAAGTTGCTGAGATTCAATTCTTAGACGTGTCAAATGTCACTTCTTAATTGTAAATACATGAATCAAATAAGCTAAATATCAGGTTCAGGTGGCTCTTAATTTGAATATGAGGTAACACTCCCTAAAATCCCCACTTTCAGGTTCATCATCATTTCTTAGAATCGAGCTCACTTGGTGTAGTAACCAAATTTTATTCGGGTCTATTGATACTTTAAATTACGTTTTTTATTTTTATTTTTGTTTAGTAATATTAAACTATTAATAATAATAAAAAATATTGATAATAAAATATTAATATTAGTTTAATATTAAAAAAAATACAAAAAAAAGAAGAAAAAAATAAAAAAAGGAAAACAGAAAAGTGGCAGAAAGTTGGTCGGCTGATGCCTGGGACTAGCCATCCTATAGCCACCTATAGCCATCCCTACCCTGCAACCTTCTGCAGTCATTTACAACCTACCCTAGCCTGACCAGCCACCCTCTACAACTTACCCCGGCCATTCCCTACAGCCACCCCTCCAAATACCATATGTTCCCTTTTCGAAGCTCCTAAAAACCCCCCAAGACGACCAAGCACTTATCTCTCCCACCAGACACACTACCTTCAAACACCCAGAACCCCTCAACTCCACCACCAGATTCTAACCCCTCAACACCACCAAACACACTACCCTCAAACACTCCCTTCCCTTTCCAGGTTTGAACACACCAAAAACTTGAAATTCACTAGCACCTCAGTCCAAGCCTCAACCCTCATCAAGCCAAGTGTCACACACTCACTCCCTGTGCCCGAAACCACCATGCCAGCACCCAACGAACCCCGATTATCACTACCCCATAATACCTATCAAAAAACTAAAAATATCTACACAAAAAAAAAAATATCTACAGTCTTAACCGTAGAAAGGAGTTCAGCACCAAAGAGATACTTGTAAAAGAAAAAAAATACATTAGTTTTGGTTTATAAAAAAAAAATGACAAAAACTTTGAGCCTTGATCTACGTCGATTGGGGCTATTTTCAGTGAAAAGAACACCAAATCTGGAAAAAGGATGAAGAAAGAAAGCTTTTGATTGTTTTGGAAGCCTTTTTGGTATCGATGACCGGCAGCCGACAGTGACACACGGCAGTCGATGCAACCGTCGGTGACCGACTTCTGGCAGTTGACCAACCTTCTGTTTTTTTAGTTGACAGAAAAAAAAAAAGAGTTTTTTTTTCTAAAGAAGAGAAATGAGCTAAAAAAAAAGAGCCTTTTATATAAGAAGCACAGAAGCAAAATGATGTCATTTTGGGCAAGGAGGATCCGTGCGTCAACCCAGATCCGACCCAAGATCTGTGTAACTGACCCGACGACCCAGCGCCCCTTAGCCCCTAGCCTTGATCGGTCCAATTGAATTAGTCTGAATCGCATTTGCCTCGAACCACCTAATCAGACCAACCTATTAACCGAATCGTTGACCGATCCAATTTAGATACTTTTTTTTAAAATTTTTTTATATATTACTTCTTTGTTGTTATTCAAATTTTATTATTATTATTTATGCAAATTAAAATGTGAAAATTCACAAGAATATTTGTCTGTTTTATAATATTAATAAATATTTTTTTAAAAAAAATAAAACATAGTAGGATAATGACAAAAAAATTCTAAAAAAAAAAAATAATAAGAATAAAATAATTTTTTATTATTTTTTTCCTACCTATATGTTGGAAGGAATAAAAACATATTTCTAAAAATAATTTCACCTAGATGTTGGAGAATTATTATAAAACAATTTTAAAATTAAAAAGTATAAAAAGATAATAAATAATAAATTAACAATAATAATAATAAATCTCCTAAAAGAGAAATATATGAAGAATATTTTAGTTAATTTTTGAAAATCATAAAAATTGAACTTGCTCCAAAAGTCTATTTAGATGTTAAGGATTTTTAGAGATGTTCATGTTTTTAAAAATTCAAAAAAATTAAAATCCAAATCATAAAATTAAAACCCTTAACCTTCCAAACCCTAAATCGAAACCCTAAACTCTCCAAACCCTAAACTCAGAACCCTAAACCCTCCAAACCGTAAAACTAAGAGCTTAAACCTTGTAAACCCTAAAATCAAAAACTTAATCCCCAAACCCTAAAATCAAAACCCTAAAATTTAAGCCTTAAAACTCTTTAAACCCTAAAACCAAATCCTAAAACCCTTGAAACTCAAACCAAAACCCCAAAATCCAAAATCCGAAACCCTAACCTTTAAAATCTCGATCTAAACTCTAATCAAAACCATCCCAAAATCCAAATGACATGTATGAAAATTTTTTTCGAAATAATTTGTTCTCGAGTGCCGCCTAGACGATGAGGTACTTAAGAAACTTTATTTCATTAAGTTTTCATGCCAGTCCTTAATTTGATTTAACCATGGGATTAAAATTAATAAAAAAAGGTATAATATTATAATGGGATCTTAAATATAAATAGTCGCACATAAGCTCCGCGTAGATATTAGAAAGTTAAGGTGATTTTATTATATTTAAGAATCCAATTTTAAATTTGCATTTCATCTTCATACACAACACCTATTAGCTTACATGCATTTATTTATTATTGTTTACACTTATTTGCATTTCTTTATCTTTAATTTTTACTTGTAATCTGATAATACCATCATTTACTTATTCGTACAAAATATTTTTTTTAATTTACTTACTTTTAAATTTTGATATTATAAAATAAAACAAAAATAACATTCCGAATGAAATAATTATCAGTACTCTACCTAGATGTTGAAAAGTTACCAATAATTATCTTTCACTATGAATGTTTCATTTTAAGGAATATTACGTTAAAGCTTAAGTGAAAAGAGTTATTTTAAATTCAGTCTAGGTGTTGAAGAATTTTAAGATAATTCTTTAACTTAAATAGTTCCTCAATATTTTTAAATAAAAAATTTTAGCAAAAAATATTTTTTAAATGAAGGAAATTAGTATTAAATTTTAAATCGAAACCATTTCATCCAACACCGAAAATAGCACATGATTAAATAGTACCAATTTCTGGGCGTTATGGGGATGCTAATCCTTTCTCACACGTAATCGACTCTCGAACCCAAAATCTATTTTCGTAGACCAAATTTATCTTTTTGATAAACTTTAAACCTGTCTTTATAATTTTATTAAAAAGATAAACTTTTAGACGGTCAATCACACCCTAAAAAAGATTAGTAGTGACTCTCTATTTTTTTCAATTTTAAAATTCTTTACGTTTGACGGTCCCAAAACTGTTACGACAGCTTTTGGCGACTCCATTGGGGATTTTTTAGAGTCAAACCAAAATTTTAATTATGTGCTATTGACAATGGTTGGATTTAATTGGTTTTATTTGATATTTAATTTAATTTCTTTTATTTTATTTTTCAAAAACATACAATTTAATAAATAAAATAAATCGTATGTTAGTTATTACTTTATTTTGATTTTATGTTTATGATTTGTTCATGTTATTTTGATAATATATGATTTTGCACACACTTTGCATATTCACTCGCATGCATAAGCTCTAGACCTAAGTTCTTTTCTTTTTAAGAGGAAGTGAAGTAGCTATGCTCTCATGAGGTAATAACCTCCGTATTTGCTAGCGAAACACTTCCACTCAGATTGAACATTTTCTGTTAGTAGCATGTAATGGGTGAGAATCAAGGAGCCTTACTAGTCTATAATGGACGATGATGTGAGGAATAGTCTGAGAACCTTTAGACATGTAAATCCTAACCCAGCATATCGTGAGTCATAGAAAGCTTGCTTAGGGTAGCCCTGCCAACCTTTTTATAGAAATAATCAAAAATGCATTAAAATTTGAAAAATGGATAATAAACGACAAGCATTTTCTTGAAAAAAATAAATTTTCTCTTAACATGTAGTTCATTCATTTTGCAATTGTCCAAATTTTACATTTTCATAAAATATTTTAGAATAAAATGATTCTTTTTAGCATTATCCAACAAGCCAAAAAAAGAAAAAAAAAGTTTCAAAAAAAATTAAAGACTTCTTTTAAATTCTTTGTTTATTGGCCACATAAAAATTAATTTTCAAGTCCTAGTTACTTTGTGTAAAGAAAAAATATATATATTTTTCCTTCTAAAAAAAAAGGAGAGATTTTTTTTCTTTCTTTCTTTTTTTCGAATATTGCAGCATATTTCGCATTTTCATTTGATCTTTGATGTACCCCATCTCACTTACATCATAATAAGATAGTACATGTATCCCATGTTATGCACATGTTGATACATGCCTTCCATACGCATCTTCATAAGTAGTGCGCACACTCCATTTCATTATATATTTAAAGGTAGTGTTAGTTTCACTAGGTTGGCATAATACAAGCATTGCATTCTATGTAAAAATATAACATGCACTTGATAGGTTCATGCATTCTATACAAGTACGTTGCATTAGTCATAAGTATATATCTCATCATTCATGTAAGGATGTCATTGCATTTCATGCATATGGATTCATGAATAGTAAGGTCTTATGGAACATACATTGCATTTCATATCCCACCATCCCTACAACATAACATT